AATCGTTTTAATATAACTTACTCAAACATCTATATACAACAAATAAAGAAATGTGCGTTAGTCAATGAAAGGGAGAAATTGAGATATAGATATACACGTCGATAAATAGATAGATAATTACAAACTAAAACAGAGAAATAGACAGATTATGTGAATTAAAATTTTTGGAAAAACAAACAATATTACAATTCTATATCTCAATTTCTCCCTTTCATTGACTAACGCACATTTCTTTATTTGTTGTATATAGATGTTTGAGTAAGTTATATTAAAACGATTTGGAATATGCAAGTTAGCAAGGCATGTGACAATCAAAGTTGACATAAAGTCGTCATAGAACGAAATCTATCAGAATTACATCCTCCCATTGTTTGACATTTTATAGTTAGTTTGATGCCACCAAGAATTAATCGTTTTTGTGGGCCTCTTCCGACTCAAAATATTCACACACTTAAATCACAAGCATTGTTGAAATCGGGAATGTAGAAGAATTTCTAACCCGGAGATATCTCTTGAACTAAATGACATTGGAAAACAATGAAGAGAACCAGGACCACACAGAAGAAGACTCTCGGCGTCTATTAAACAGGTGAGCGTCCTCAAATACAAATCCCGGTGGGAAAAGCAGTCCATGTACCCCAGGCAACAATGCACAACATAATCAAGAATAACGAGGATCTCCGACTGGAAAATCGAAAAACTTGTGGTGCACACAAATTGCTTCCACGGCATATTCCTTCATCAGTCGCGTACTTCAAGCAGCTGGAGAATGAAAGGATCCTTCAAAATTGTTTTAATAAAACGTACTCAACTTCTATATGTATACAGACACATTTTATTTTTGCAACCACAGGGTTATGGTTGGTCGCTAGGAGCGCTGATATACAAGTTTATGTTTGTTAACTTATATATGTATATAGATACGTCAGTGCCTATGTCTGTATATATAGTATATATATCTTCCTTTTTCTTATTTTCAGCTGGTCATTTGGAGTGGTTCTTTGGGAAATCGTTACCTTAGGTATGCTGATTAAACAATACATATATTCCGAATTAATGAATTATAGAAAAGTTAGTTTGTAAACAACGTTCTAACTTTGAAGTACTTCACCTATTAACCACGAAACTACCAAGATAGCGACTAATCTCAGCGACGATTAAGGTTTATTTTTGAAGCCACAGGGTTATAGTTGGTCGCTAGGGGGCGCTGGTATACAAGTTTATGTTTGTTAAGTTATTTTTTATTCGAATCTCTTATATTATTATGGATATTCCAAAAGGATAGGCAATATGAAACAATGGCAAACTTAAAACATAAAATTACAAAAATAAAATAGTCAATAAACAGTCATATGGAAAAAAATAGCACAATATATTTAAAAGCTTTTGACATAAAATACTTCACAAAGTTAAGATATAGATAGCATGCTACTGGGCCACATTGCCTCCGCATTGTTTTTCAGATTTTCGTGCGAAAGGTATTACAAGACTTTAAGACTAACAACGGATATATAGTTCACAAGGAAATTTGTCAGCACATATCGTTATTGTATTCGAATAACTGCCCACAGGCTTGCCCTCTATGACTTCACCATCTCTATTTACTCAACAGCGATCTTCCTTACAAAATGGGTCAATTTTATTGTTTTGTGCTTAACATTTTTCTCTACTCTACAGCTTATCCATTGCCTTTTATTGAACTTTACCAAAATAACCATTACTTCCCTTTTCTAGTAGTGGCGGGATCGAATCCCGTCACTTGACGTGCTCGCCCGATAACCGTGTAAGGTAATCACATTGCTCGTTGGTTAAAAATAGTACACGAGTTGAAGGTTGGTGGTGTTGACTAGCTGCCTTTATTCTAGTTTATCATTACAAATATTAGGGACGGCTAGCGCATATAACCCTCGAATAGCTTTGCGCGAAATTTAATAAACAAACACACAAGCCTTCTTGTAAAGCTTCCGGCACGGCCTTTTAAACTTTTCATTCGGAGCCTTGGGTGATTTGTTTCTTTGTAGGCAGTCATGAATGAAGTGTTCTGTTTGTCCATAATTATGTCAAATTCTGTTTCCAGTATAATGTTTTTGTGTTGCCATGCTTTGAATGCATCTCAACTCTGAGTAACATTCTTTATGATATGGAATACTTGAATTTTCAAGGCTAATCGCTGTACCTTGTATACGGCTTTCTCCCATTCCGAAGGCGAGTCAAACTTAAGCTTTTCAGGTGATTACGTAGTCTCGGAGGTATGTTGTATCAGCAATATTCATAGATTTCAAACCCATAACAAATTGAACTCCTTCTACGAAAGGGGGCCGAAGGTCGCCTGGAGGAGTCACCTGTTTTAACCACTTGTACCACCATACAGTAGTGTGTTTTTTTTTGTCTGTTAGTCAGTCAATAGACACTAATATGACGTCGCATAAGGGACGCTTAACGTTGCAACTTGTACTGCCTTGAAGTCAGTAAAACGTGCGCATGCCATGAATCACGAGAAGAATTGTGCACTCTGTAAGCTACAACAGAGCATGGCATATGAACTTCAAAGTCAAGAAATAAAAATATTTGTTGCTCTTAATTTTGGTTTTATTTAATCTTGAAACAGAACACTTTCAGGGACCCCCGCGGAAATACCTCTAGTAATTAGCTTGATAAGCATGTCTTCAATTTGAATGACGTAATTCACCCATCATTGAGCCCAAAACCGTCAGAGCTCTTTAGGCAGACAAATAAGCACACAATTCAGCATCTCTCAGCAAGATCTGACAGGGCTTCTTTTTATGAATCGTTCTAAAAATAACACGAAAGAGCAGCTAGTAATGACTTGTATTTATTCTGGATCATTCTGAAGGCATGAAATATGGAAGGCTTTATGTTGATAACTATATCCGTTCATATTAGATCTACTATGCTTCCCGTAGTCATTTCCTATTGCAATACGTTGATTGTTATTGGCCGGGAAGGTATATGTGTTCTTCTGAATTATGCATCTCCATAGCTGGTTGCAACCTGTTATATAGGATGTTGCTAAACTTGTGTTGAATACATTTCTGGTGAACATTACTATGAACGCTGAAGTATTCCATGTAATTTACCAGGGTGGCATAGTTATGGCAATTGGCATAAATTAATGGTATGAAGGTGGTTTGATTTTTATACTGTTTATTCCTGTAGTGACTTATAGTTCTTTACCCAACGAAGTTTAGGTGTAACTTGTTTGTTTCTTTCATAAATGCATTCAAGAATATTTCGCTCGTTCGACTGTACATTGAAGTTGCAAGTAAAACGTTTGTTTGTAGTTAAGTGCAAAACTACACAATGGGCTACCTATGCTGTGCCTACCACTGGTATCAAAATCCGGTTTCTAGCATTATCAGTCCACAAACTTACTGATGTGCCGCTGGGAGTCGCAAGTGAAGAAGTGTCATACGTTAACAGCAAATTAGAACCTAGTTGTATGAAATAGGTCATTGGTATTTATTTGGTGTTTAAAGCTAAAAAGCCAGTTACAATTTTTAACATATACAATATAACTCAAGTTTGTTTTCATTTTCAAACTTTTCTATACATTTTTGCTATTATCTTAAAAGCTTATTTTCTTATTACCACTATTTTACCAGTACTTTACGGTCTTCTCTCCAATCGTATCTAGAAGTCCAATTTTTACATCTTATTTAATAACACTTATTTCCTATAACATCTAATTGTATGCTCAAATTCTTTTGGTCTAGATTAATACTCATGTTTACTATCATACCTCTTCATGAATGCACCATAACATGTTTATCTCTAGGAGCAAGTCCTTACCCAGGTGTAGAACTAGAACGGTTGTACAACCTTCTTAAGTCTGGTTACAGAATGGAAAAACCAAAAACCTGTTCAGATCAACTGTAAGTAGCACTGTTTTCCTGGTTATTCATCTTGAGAAATAAAATATTAAAGGACAAAATTTGTTCATTAAACTTCTTATATATTATATTATATTTGCTTGTCAGTAAATATAAATATATAGACACTACTAGTTCCTGTATGTAACTAGTAATCACGATCCTTTAAATCAAACTTCTAGAAGTAGTCTTCAAGCACTTAGTTTTTCAAAACATAAAGCAGTGCTTCCATCTTTACAACTTCAGATTGTATTATTTAATGTTCAAAATAATATGGAAAATGTCAATTAAAATAATTTCTGCATATTCTTAATCTGTTGGTTGCTTCTCGTATCTGCATCATTTGTAAATATCGTATAAAACAATGATCTAGATTACTGGTGAAAAATCTTTGCAGAATCAAGTATATTTACTAATGACTTAAACATAAATCCGCTTAATATCTGTTTATTAGATGTTTCTCAATAAATTATATATTATAAAATATTATCTTTAACTACTCACAAAATAATTCCTTGAGAAAAATCCACAATTCAGGAGTTGTTATGAAGAAATAATTTTTTAAACAGTAAATATTCTAATTACATATTACCTTAATGTCTTTCCTTTAAAGACTGCTTTTATAACGTACAGGTATCACATCATGATAATGTGTTGGAGAGAGAATCCATACAATCGACCATCTTTCAAGGACCTTGTTCACAGATTCGACATTATGTTACAAGAAACTGCGGTTAGTGCTTTCTTTGTTTCTGTAGTAACGAAACAGATCCTCAGCTTTAGAAAGACAGTTTTTTTACAGACATTTTTATTCAAAGACTTTGTTTTTACTTGCAAGCTTTAATACTATTCACATGAACTGGTAAATGCAAGTGAATAATAATGGCATTCAAACATGATTTCAGAAATCGGTAAAAATGGAGCTTCGATTAGTCAGTTCTCATATATTTTGTACATCTGTATTATTAATTTCATTGTAATTTTATCTTATACTTTATGTTTTGTTTTATTTTTCATAACACGGCGCATAGATGGAAAACATTCATACGCTCTATTTCACACATCATTTATATGTCATGAATTATACCTTATGGTATACTTTGTCTGGATTATTACTTCTTTTCAAAAATGAAAGTTGTCCTTCAATTTAAACAAAGTAGAAGAAAATTGTAGCTTTCTGTGTGCAAATATTGAACTACGAAAAAAAGATATCATATGGTTCACACTGAACGAGAGCGAATAATTTAGAAGGACTGCAGTCAAATGAGAGTATCCACACCAGCAGTGAGCCACGTCACTTTTACATGTTTGTTTGTTCGAAGTTGAGCACAGATCTACGCAAAGGGCTGTCTGTGCTCTGCCCATCACAGGTATCGAAACCGGGTTTCTAGAGTTGTGCCACTGGGAGATTCGTTTTTAAAAATTTTCGCTTCGCTAAAATAGAATCTATTCCTATTTCTTTTCTCGTTGCACAGCTCGAACGAAATTGACCAATCAAAATAACTGTAATAATTAAGATAGTTACTAAGTAGCGTTTAACAACAACAACATAATAATAATAATGTTACGCTTTAAAATACATTCAAAACATTATACACAAAAGGGATCAAAGAAGTAATTTGTACAGAAACACAACCAAAATTGCAGTAAGTTGAATACATAACAATAAAATTATTTGACTTTTTAGTTTGTTGAAAATATTAGTTCAACTATAGGTTAATACTGTAGCGGAGATCAGAGCTCTTGTTATCAGAACACGCTTCCCTCCCATTGGCACGGCTGTAAAGTCTGAAGGCTTAGTAATGCTAAAAACAGAGTTTCGATACCCCCTGGTGTGCACTGCATAGATAGCCTATTGTGTAGCTTTGAGCTTAATTACAGACATATAAACAAACAGAATCAAAACAAAACCTATTTTGCAATGGAACAGTCCATCTTTAGTATGTCCAACAGGAATGCATTAAAATCCAGTCTTTAGGAAAGTTTCCAATTTGCGTCTGGTGTGGATTGACATTCGGCGACATTGTTCACGTCCAGTGTTAATGAAGTGGAACAGTTTGGATTTTGGGTAATTGCATAAAGCAACAACCAAACACTTGTTAGAAAAATACTCTATTATTTAGAGCCTTATCGGAATATCCTAGCCAAATTAGTATTAGTTATAAAGCCCAATAAAAACCTGCTTTAATTTTGGCTCAGATAAAAAACTGTTTAACAAGCAAATAATATATACTGTAAATTTGTTTCTGGTTACCATTTCCTTGTTTGTTTTTTTTTCAAATTTCGAAAAAATATATAATTCAGATAAAAATATTTGCAAATGAAAACGATAATCTTAATATGGTCAAATTATAATTTCACTGCTTAAAATTTTACTTGTTGGATGTTACACACAATTTTTATATAGTAAACCCGGCAATTTGACTATAGCTAGAGAGAAATTAACACATTCATAATTCGTGTGGAATTGAAGCTCTTAAGCTATAACTGTATTAAGTAAATTAAAAAAAATCTAAATGCTACGATTTTACACTTATATACAAAATGATAATTTTTGCATGTTATAATTTTGTTTCTTAGTAGTAAGAAAGATACGGACTACAAAATTTAGTAAACATGATTCTACTATAAGGAAAACTCATCTAACAGGTATTTGTATGCATTGATTGCAGTTCCTTGTTTTTAACGTTATTTTTGTAATATTTTTCAATATCTTTCAGTAAACAAAATTTGTTTATACATTAATCTCTACTCTGTTTTGAACATACGTTTTTGTCACATAAAAGACACAAAAGGCATTCATTACTTAACTAATTATTTGTCTTCGATGTCTTGAATGATATATCAAGCGCTTGTTTTGTCAAATAAAATATTTTGCTTTTATTTTTCAATATCATCCAGTTAAAGAAAATGTTTTCGTAAACATGTTAACATTACATTAAACTGCTCTGTTTTGAACATGCGTTTTTGTTGCTTGCAAGGCAGAAAAAGCATTCATTTGTTAACAGATTATGTGGCAGCGATGTCTCGAATGGTATGTCAAGCGTTTGTTTTGTCAAATATAATATTTTTGTTTCTTTAAAAGTAAGACGAACACGAACAATAAGATGCAGCTATTGAAGTAAAAACGACTATGTTGTTTACATGTAGTTCAGTAATTTTCCTCTTTTGATTTTAAAAGGGTATATAACACAAATAAATAAGACACACTTCACTGATTTGTTACGCCCCTATTCCTAACAATACATACTATTCAAAAGCGTTTTGGAACCACACAGCATTCAGGCACAGTAGTAATTAAAATTATAAGTCAAGTATTTGTGACTGAAAAAGTGGAAGGTTAACTGAACGAAGAAAGAAAATAGTAGGGTACGAGCTCATCCAAAATCAAAAGTGTGTTAAAATATAATGATCATCTTCAATTAAGTAAAACGTGTGATAAACATTTAATGACCATCCTCAGATAGACAAAAAGTGTGTTCAAACTGTAATGGTCTCCCTCAGTTAAGTAAAACATATGTTAAAAATGTAATGGTTTCCCTCAATTAAGTAGAACGTGTTAAAATGTGATGGTCTTCCTAAATTAAGTAGAACGGGTTAGAAATGTAATGGTCTCCATTAATTAAGTAAAACATATGTTAAAATGTAATGGTTTCCCTCAATTAAGTAGAACGTGTTAAAATGTGATGGTCTTCCTCAATTAAGTAAGACGGGTTAGAAATGTAATGGTCACCATTAATTAAGTAAAACATATGTTAAAAATGTAATGGTTTCCTTCAATTAAGTAGAACGTGTTAAAAATGTGATGGTCTTCCTAAATTAAGTAGAACGGGTTAGAAATGTAATGGTCTCCATTAATTAAGTAAAACATTTGTTAACATGTAATGGTCTCCCTAAACGTGTGTTAAAATGTAATAGTTTCATTCAGTAAAGATAATATTTTATGATTTATTCTTCAGGAATACTTGGACCTCAGTCCTATACAGAATAATGATGCTCACATTTGGACAGGTGATGAAAACTTGCTAATTGAGGTGGAATCTGGTGCAGAGAAATCAGGTAATGTTCATTCTAAGATCACACTAAAAAAAAAACAGTTTAGTGTAAATCATTTAACCAAAAATGAAACAGGTATGTACACGGTGTTTTAAGTTTTGGTATTCTAAAATATATTCTTTCGATTCGTCCCATCATTCACGAAACATTTTCAATGTACAAAAATGAGAATTAAGTTGTCTTTACTTCCCAAGTTCATAACATCTGCCTTTACTCTACTTGCATGAGCACTGAAACAACTGACGTCTTTCCCTCCTCTAATTAAAAGTTTGTAGCTGCAAATATGACAATTAGCAATCAAGTCAGCTCAAAGTGAAATAAATGAACTTACAAATCAAACATTTCTGAGTAGAAAAAAAAAACAGGTTAAGTACAAATGAAAACAGAACACCACTGTACATAAGTAATCAAAGCGTTCGATCACTGTTTGGTCATTCCTGTATATGATATATTGGAATTTTGCTATTTTAGATTTTCAGTTTTGTACGTATCATTCTTGCATAACATATATTGACAAAATATCTTTGGATATTTTCAATTCTGTATGCATCATTCTTGTATGAGAAAAATCTTGGACATTTTCGATTTTCAATTTTATATGCGTTATTCCTGTATAAGATATACTGCTGAAAAATTATCGTAAGTTTTCACTTCAAATGAACTCCTAATTGTACTTTTGTTTCCCCGATATCCAGAAGAACTGGTTTGTCCAACTCCAAGCCAAGATTCCGACTGTATACAACTCATCTCTGAAAATCTCAAGGAAACTATTCCTGCAGATATTGTTTCTGATGCAACAGTATAAACATATAGTTTCATTGTTGTCAGGTTATTATACTGGTATCCATAGCGAATAAAGGTGAACGAGAATGTTTGATTTTCAGTTGAGAGAAGAATCATAATTTCATGGAAAGAAACAATATGTTGATATCTGTTGTGATGGTGAGTTTATTAGACTGGAAGCTAAATGTAATAGGTAATAATTTTCTTATTTTAAATTGATTATGGGAAAACCCGCTATACGGTCAGAGAGCCTTATGGGATATCGCATAAACTCTAGAATCACCTTGAGAAGTAAAACTAGTTTTTCTCGCTATGTATTTGGACAACGTTTAAGCTTCGTTGAAACTCATGTTTATCTATTGGTTTCATAAAGCTTTTGTTAATGTGTGTGTGTGTGAAGATGTATTAATACAGTAAGATCATCACAAAAATTAAGAACTCTGATCACCCAATCAGATTCATTATGGGAAAACATGTAAATTGAATCAGTTGGTTAGAAAAATAAATTTTTGGTTAACAGAGATTCATGATGCTTACAAAATCTAGAAAAAAAATAGGGCAAATGAATAAATAAATTACATTTCAAGAAATTCAATAACCAAAGGTCTTTCGAAAGGTAGGCCTTTCTTTATCAGGGATTTGTTGTTGTAGTTAGAAAAAAAGTTTAGACACATTAGAACGCAAAATAACTTTACGTTTAAAAAATATTACTTTAAACGTGTGATAGCGTGCACAGTAGAGCCAAGCATGTGCATACTTATAGAAATAATAAAGATTTAAGTTCTTAAACCAAAGAAAATGAAACTGGATTAAGAAAAACATAACGTAAGACTATTTTTGTCCACTGTTAGATCCCTGTATTTATTGGTTAAAAACAGAAGAAATGTTCGTGATATCTGTATTGTTACAAAACAATGGCCAGAAATCACGTCGTTATAACCACACCGAGATAGATCTATTGATGCATACAAAATTATTTATTCGGTCTTTTCTTTACTTAAGTTCGTAACAGTTACTAGGTTTTAGTGTTTCGTCACAAATCAGAGAAGAATTTGTTCAACAACGTGTGAAATGAATCAAGGGGATATCTCTTCATTAAAATCAATATATTCTGTTTTACTTTTCTTCCTTTAACTTTCACAAATAAAAGAAAGTTTTCAAATTCCGATCTATTGAAAGTTGAACTCCTATTTCCGCTTTTTTATGCATTTATTATGTGTAGTATAGTTATGTCCGGCTTATAACGTCGGTAGATCGCTTAAAGTAGATTTGATATCTTTATACATATAATAAAGGTTATCTTCAAAAAGTTAAAACATCATTTGTATATCTCGCAATGCTTTTGTGCTTATTAAACCAATCATTCATTTGACAGTAATTAAAAGAAGATTAATGATTAATAATTGTTTAAATAAATACCTATATTTAATGTTGGCGTTCTTAATGGTGTTTATTTATAAAACCTTTGTTATTATCCTTGTATATATATGACAAACGAACGTTGTACAGGTGATTGAAAGCTATGTTTGTATATATAGTGAAGCTATGTGGAATAAATATTATCTTGGAAAATATT